TTTTGCAAAAAGATCTTTAACTCTTGTTATCTACTTTCTTTTGATTTATCACTGTTTTTATAGTGTCTTGCATTATTTATTCTTTTTAGTCTCCTAATTAGCAAAAAAAAAGGTTGAAAGCAGTGGTTCTCAGCTGGGAGTGATTTCAATCCACAGGAAACATTTGGCAACATCTGGAAACATTTTTGGTTGTTACAGATGGTGGGTGCTACTGTCTGCTCCTGGGTAGAGGCAAGGGATGGTGCTAAACATCCCCAGTGCACAGACACAATGCCCACACAATGAGGTGTTTACCAGCCCAGAATGTCAGTTCTGTTGATGTTGAGAAATCCTGGTTTTAAGCTAAAAGTTTTCCTCAGAGTATAGCTTTGGCTGGGTGGATCCTGCAGGGTTTGATATGCTGGGTTCTCATGACTGCTCTCGTCTAAATGGTCTATAACCTGAGCTTTTACTTTCTTGTCAACCTCAGTTGCTTAGAAAAGTGTTTGTCATTATTCTGGGTGGTGAGAGTTCCCTTCTGTTCTTTTTCGTGGCCGTTCAGTTCTAGTTTTACTATATCGTGTTCAGATTTGGTATTCTGACAATTTCTGCTCTTTGTCTTTGGAATTTGAGGCTTTCTTTGTGTCTCACCAGAATATGGCCAGTTTTAGATTGCTTCATGAACATTTGGCAGGAATGTGTGTCCTCTGAGGCAATGTCCTTTCGAGAGACCGGCTGGGTTTTCCTTTTGGTCCAACTGACGTCTTTGGTGTTTACCTTTCAGAAGGAGACTCAGCCTGGCACATCGATGGTCTCTGCTGCTGTCGGTTTGGGGTTGCTCCTGCCCGTAGTGTATTGTTTCTCCTTTTCTGCTTAAATTTTTCCTTCCTGACTCTTGCTGGTTTGAGAAACAGAATGAGTTTTGGTTTGGGTCTTGGTCTGGGTGTGGGTGTTGCTGCTGCTGTTGGTTTGCTCTCGCGGGGGCTTTGCGAGTCACCTTTCTGTGCTTGGGTCTGGCCAGTGGTCACCCTCACTCTTCTGACGAATACTGAACGGTGATTTCCATCAGTCACAAAATTTACTACTCGCCACCTTCCTTTCACATGTAAGTTAAGACATTGAACACCCACTTTTTTCCTCCTTCTTGACTCCCAGCATTGTTTACAGAGAAACTAGAATTTTCTTCTTGTCTGTTACGATTTTGTTTTTACATTTCCATTGCTATGGTAGCTAACTAGCAACTAACCAGGTGCGGTAGGTAGTCCTGACTTCATTGCACATTGCTGTTTTCCCAAAACACCAGCCTTCCCTTTTTGGATTTTTATTCTTTTAGTTTCTAATTAGTGCTACGTAAAAGTGTAAGAAAATGAGTTTGTGGAGAAGGAGAGTTTTCCAGGCGGGGACAGCTGAGGTCTGCAGGCACCTGAGATCCCCCGCACCCCAAGACAGTGACTGCAGCGCCACAGGGATGCAGGGAGACGCGTGCTGGAAGGACCCACAGCTGGGGCATTAAACGTGCAGACCCGGCTCCCAGGGCACGCACTGTGACCTTCTGTGCACATGGCTTCTGGGGCCTGGGCTGCGCGCCCCACCCTGGCCCGTCATGGCAGACACCAGAGCCCAGCCCCTCTCTTCCCTGCAGCGTGCCAGTGTTCCAGCCCTGGAGTGGCAGATGGCCACTGCGACCCTGACTCAGGCCAGTGCAACTGCCGGGTGGGCTTTGAGGGGGCTGCATGTGACCGCTGCGCCCCCGGCTACTTCCACTTCCCTCTCTGCCAGCGTGAGTGACACCCCCACATGGGCATGGTGGGGGGAGCCTGCCAGGCTCAGGTCCCGTGACACGCCCTGCACTCTGCAGTGTGCGGCTGCAGCCCCGTGGGGACCCTGCCTGAAGGATGTGATGAGGCTGGCCGCTGCCTGTGCCGGCCCGAGTTTGATGGCCCTCAATGTGACCGCTGCCGCCCAGGCCACCACGGTTACCCTGACTGCCATGGTGAGCAGAGGGCTGGGCCGGGGCCAGGGTGGGGCAGGAAGGGGCTGGCCACCCATGTGGCTCCAGACCTGATGCCACTGTGCACCCGCAGCCTGCACCTGCGACCCCCAGGGAGCCCTGGACGAGCTCTGTGGGGCGGGTGGTTCGTGTCGCTGCCGTCCTGGCTACACAGGCACCGCCTGTCAGGAGTGCAGCCCTGGCTTCCACGGCTTCCCCGACTGTGCCCGTGAGTGCCCTGGGAGGGGGCAGGGGCAGGTGCATATCCCCACCGTGTGCCCACACCCTGCCCTCACCCTGCAGCCTGCCACTGCTCTGCCGACGGCTCCCTGCACACAGTCTGCGACCCCCGGAGTGGGCAGTGCAGCTGCCGACCCCGTGTGACAGGGCTGCAGTGCGACACATGTGAGCCTGGAGCCTACAACTTCCCCTACTGCGAAGGTGAGCTCGCTGGTATGCACATACACGTGTGCACACGTCTGGGATTGTTCACAAGCCGTGCACCTTCCTGCCATTCCATTCCCGCGTGTCGCCATGTGCTGTGCATTCTGCGATTGTATGTTTGCATGGTTGTTCTTGTACTGTGTGTGTGTGCTACACGTGTCATCGATGGCATGTCCATGTGCATGCATTCACATGCTGTGGGAGAGTATTCATGTGTGTTCACGTGTGCTCTTATGCTTGTTCACAAGCGTTTGTCCACGTGCCATGCACAGAGTATCTGCAAGTGTCATGTGATGTGCATGGCATGTGTGTTCACAGCATGTGCTGTGTGGCAGGGGATGACTGTGCCCTTGCCACTGCGGGGTCTCGAGCAGGGATGTGTGTGTCTCACACCTGTTCACACGTACAGGAGATGTGTGTGCTGGCTCCTGTGGGGACATGGGTTCTGGATGGGCCTGGGGAAGCGCTTGGCCTTCGGGTCAGTCACTGANCTCGAGCAGGGATGTGTGTGTCTCACACCTGTTCACACGTACAGGAGATGTGTGTGCTGGCACCTGTGGGGACATGGGTTCTGGATGGGCCTGGGGAAGCACTTGGCCTTCGGGTCAGTCACTGTGGAATGACCAAGGCGTGGTTCTCTCCTCCCAGCTGGATCCTGCCACCCTGCCGGCCTGGCCCCAGCCAACCCTGCCCTTCCTGAGGTTAGCCCGGGTCTGCCCCCAGTATAGGGGACGGGAGAGGGGGACAGACAGCCAGAAGTCCGAAGCCCTGCAAGCCCACCACTTTTGCCAGCTGCTCTGTTGCCACAGCAACCTCAGGGCCAATTTGGCCCTCCGGCTTGTCCTCTGTCCCACCCCAGGCAACCGCCAGGCATAAGCAGGGTCAGGGAAGGAGCCTCAGCTCCCTCTGCCCCTTGTCAGGGCTGAGGGATTGTGGGTAGAAGGGCAGGGACTCACTCTGACCTGCAGTCTCATCCTCTTCCAGGCACTGGCCCCCTGTACGTGCCGGGCTCATGTAGAGGGGCCAAGCTGTGATCGCTGCAAACCTGGGTTCTGGGGGCTGAGCCCCAGCAACCCTGAGGGCTGCACGCGTAAGTTTGTCTTGTCCTGGAGGGAGTGTCAGGGATGCTGGGGAACCCCAGGGTGGAGCCCAGGCCCTTCTGTCCCCCCCTGCAACAGTCCTCAGGCCTGTTCTGCCCTTCCCAGGCTGCAGCTGTGACCCCAGGGGCACCCTGGGTGGAGTTGCCGAGTGCCAGCTGGTGAGTCTGAGGACCGGTGTTGTGGCTTCGGGAGCAGGTGGGTCAGGACCCTCCCCCGCCCCATCCCACCTTCTCCCTTGGCTTTCAGGGCAGCGGCCAGTGCTTCTGCAAGCCCCATGTGTGTGGCCAGACCTGCGCGGCATGCAAGGACGGCTTCTTTGGGCTGGACCATGCTGACTACTTCGGCTGCCGCGGTGAGCACCTGCTTCTGTCACCCTCCAGCCCTCTCCCTGGTCCTCCCAGCTTGGAGGGGGTTGGGGAGAGGCAGCTCTGCCTGTCACTGCTGCCTGTCCTCCATGCCTCACCCTGCAGACGTCACTGGTCAGTCCCAGTGCCCTTGCCCCAGCTGGGACCCCTTTGTGCAGAGAGCCCCAGACAGCCCCTGGGGGAAGATCAGAGTTGGCTTCTCGGCTACTCTTGCTGTTGACGGAGGTCGGGTGGAGACCAGGAGGCCTGTCTTGAGGGCCAGAGCAGGGTCCTGATCTGGGGGGCTGTGGGAAGGGCCCCCGAGGCTGGGGGGGGGTCTGACTTCCCGCCTTCCCACTGCAGGCTGCCGCTGTGATGTTGGCGGTGCTCTGGGTCAGAGCTGTGAACCAAGGACGGGCACCTGCCGATGCCGCCCCAACACCCAGGGCCCTACCTGCAGCGAGTGGGTGCCCTCCCCTGACTGGGCCAGGGACTGGGGGAGGCAGCTTGTCCTCTGGGCTTCCCTGTGTCCCTCACCACAGGCCCACATGGGTCCTGGCTGTCCCTGGGGATCCTGGTCAGCTGTGCAGATTAAGTGCCTGCCCCGCCCGGACAGACAGGGTGGCCAAGCTGTGCCTGACTGCCCCTGCCGTGGCCAGGCCGGCGAGAGACCATTATCTGCCTGACCTGCACCACCTGCGGCTGGAGCTGGAGGAGGCTGCCACGCCCAAGGGCCATACCATGCGCTTTGGCTTCAACCCCTTGGAGTTCGAGAACTTCAGCTGGAGGGGCTATGCTCAAATGTCACCCATCCAGGTGGGTGCTGCACCCTCTTCCCCCAATCCCAGGGCTCAGCTTGGAAGTGGTTCCCGGTGTGGCCAACAGAGTGGGGTAGGCAGGCTCGGTGAGGTCACAACTCAAGCTGGCAATGGCCAGGGAGGGTGACCTCGATGTTCCACATCCACCCCAGCCCAGAATCATGGCCAGGCTGAATGTGACCTCCCCTGATCTTTTCCGGCTGGTCTTCCGATACGTCAACCGTGGCCCCACACCTGTCAGTGGGCGGGTCTCCGTGCGGGAGGAGGGCAGGTTTGCCTCCTGTGCCAACTGTGAGTGGGGTCACTGGGCCGTCCTGGCCTGTCCCTGCCCCCCACCCCAGCCACCTCCTCTGGGCCCACATGTGGGTGGTGGGCCCAGCCTGTCCATGGGAGAGATGCAGCCTGGGTGGCCCAAGGGCTGAGCCCGAGAAATCTCACCTCCCCCTGCCCCACCCCAGGCACGGAGCAGAGCCAGCCTGTGGCTTTCCCACCCAGCACGGAGCCTGCCTTCGTCACTGTGCCCCAGAGGGGCTTTGGGGAGCCCTTTGTGCTGAACCCCGGTGTATGGGTCCTGCTCGTGGAAGCCGAAGGGGTGCTCCTGGTGAGGCAGGGGCCAAGGCAGGGTGTGGGACAGAGGATGGGTGGCCCTGGGCCACGGGCCTCAGCACCCACCTCCTGCCCCCCAAACCAGGACTACGTGGTTCTGCTGCCCAGTGCCTACTATGAAGCGGCCCTCCTGCAGCTGCGGGTGACCGAGGCCTGCACGTACCACCCCTCCACCCAGCGCTCTGGGGAGAAGTGAGGGCCTGCCCAGTGGGACCGGGGTGGGGCTACCTCCAAGGACTGGCTGCTGGGGACTTGGCTGGACCTGGTGCTGACATAGCCTGTGTCCCCTCCCCCAGCTGCCTCCTCTATGTCCACCTCCCCTTGGATGGCTTCCCTTCGGCCGCTGGGCCCGAAGCCCTGTGTCGCCATGACAACAGCCTACCCCAGCCCTGCCCCACAGAGCAGCTGAGTCCCTCCCACCCGCCGCTGGCTGCCTGCCTTGGCAGTGATGTGAGTGTCCTGGGCCCCCACAGAGAGGAGGGTGCTGCTGGGAAGGACACAGCACAGGGTGAGAACATTGTGTCTGACCTCGGTGCCATGTCTCTCACCTTTCGGCTTGTCTTGAGGAGGCAACAGGGTGGTCCTGAGCTGCCCTGGGCACCGGGACTTAGCGGTGACAGGGCAGGCCCTTGGCTGGGCAGAGGCCTTCAGTTTGGTGGAGGCGGGACAGGCCAGGGGCCACCAGCCTCTCTGATCCCCTGCTCTCCCCCAGGTGGATGTCCAGCTCCAGGTGACAGTGCCACGGCCCGGCCGCCACGCCCTGGTGGTGGAGTACGCCAATGAGGACGCCCGCCAGGAGGTGGGCGTGGCCGTGCACACCCCTGGGCAGGCCCCCCAGCAGGGGGCGCTCACCCTCCACCCCTGCCCGTACAGGTGAGCTGGGAGCAGGGTGGGGCTGGGCTTGAGGGCTCGGCCCAGGGCTGCCTCACCTGCTGACCACCCCTGTCCCCCAGCACCCTGTGCCGGGGCGCTGCCCGGGACACCCAGCACCACCTGGCCGTCTTCCACCTGGCCTCGGAGGCCAGCATCCAGCTAACAGCCGAGCAAGCACACTTCTTCCTGGTAAGACCCCCAGACCCCTGCCCGCCCCCTGCAGGGTCAGCTTCCTGCAGAAGATCTTAAACACACGTGAAAGTGGAGAGAAGAGCGTGAGGACCCTAGGTGCCCACCGTCGCCACCGCACTGTCCACTCAAGCCACCCTGTGTCCTCCAGAGCCCCCGCCCTGTGGTTTCCCCGTGCACAGCGACACACTCGGCATCAGGCCAGGCCGCAGCCCGGGCAGCCACCCTGCGGCACTGGCGGTGTCGGCTGGTTGCCTGTTCTGGAAATTTGTGTGTGTGGAACACGCAGTGCGCTCTTGTGCATCATGTCTTCCGCCGCCTCGTGCCCGAGGGTGGGTTTGTGGTGTTGGTGTGGTGCGGCCTTCCTTCCCTTCTCTGTAGGGTTCGATGTCACACTGCCTTTTGTCCCATTTGTCCCACCGGTACCTGCATCACAGTGGACTGCACAGGAGGCAAATGCCACTAACGGCCTGTGCTCACCGAGCGCCAGCCTGTGCCAGGTCCTGGGAAGGCTGGACCCGTTCCTGGCCTTGTGGAGCTAAAGGGGGCTTGAGATAAGGAGGGGGGGATGATGATGGACGGGAAGGGAGGAGGAGCATTTGCATGAAGAGCTGCGAATCCTCCAGGCCCCAGAATCGGTCACTAGGTTCCACGTCCAGGGCTGGGACTTGTGTAGCTGGGCAGGGGCTTCATGCAAAGAGCAGGACCCATTGAGATGCCAGCCTTGCGTGGGGCTCCTTGGGGTCTGAGCTGTGTGACTCAGTGTCCCTGCCCGCCCCCTGCTGTCCTCACCTGGCCCACTGGCATAGCAGCACCTGGTCCCTCTGCCCACAGCACAGCATTACCTTGGTGCCTGTGGAGGACTTCAGCACAGAATTTGTGGAGCCACGGGTACACTGCATCAGCAACCACGGCACCTTCGGCCCAAGCAGGTAGTGGGGAGGGAGGGCTGGGTGACCAGCAGCGACCAGCTGGCCGGGATGGCGGGGACTCAGGCACCATGCTCCCACCAGGGCCTCCTGCCTGTCTTCTCGCTTCCTGAAGCCGCCCCAGCCCATCCTCCTCAGGGACTGCCACTGGGATGGCGGGGACTCAGGCACCATGCTCCCACCAGGTCCTCCTGCCTGTCTTCTCGCTTCCTGAAGCCGCCCCAGCCCATCCTCCTCAGGGACTGCCACGTGCTGCCGCTGCCGCCCAGCCTCCCGCTGACCCACTCGCAAGATCTCGCACCAGGTGCACCCCCAGCTGGACCCCAGCCTCGGCCCCCCACTGCTGTGGACCCCAACACAGAGCCCACCCTGCTGCGCCACCCCCAGGTGAGGGCCCGGGCCAGGCCACAGCCTCAGAGAGACAGGAAGTAGATCGGGGCAGGACTCTGGGCCCCTGCCCCCGGCTGCCCCATGGCAGGTGGCACAGGCAGCAGTGGAGGCCAGTGTGGGACCCCTGGCGTCCCCATACCCCTGCCCACTCACTGGAGCCTCTCCCTCAGGGCACCGTGGTCTTCACCACTCACGTGCCCACCCTGGGCCGCTACGCCTTCCTGCTGCACGGCTACCAGCCTGCTCACCCCACCTTCCCCGTGGAGGTCCTCGTCAATGGGGGCCGCGTCTGGCAGGGTGAGTGTCTAGGGCGGGGGTGGTTGAGGTGCCATCACACGCAACCGGGCCAGATCACGTGCACTACAGTAATAGGTCAACATATCCCCGTCCTGCTATCAGTTCTCAAACTGGGTGCCCTGGGGCTGCTGCAGGCAGCTGCTCCCACCTCGCCACCCCCATTCCCGGAAAAGCCTGCCCCTGGTGTCTGCCTCACACATTAAGATTCCCTGCTGTGCTCTCTCACATGCAGGGCATCACAAGTCTGTTGTAGGACACTGTCACACGTGTTGCCAAGGGTTTGTCTTGTTTCCGGCTCGGCTAGACCTGGGAACCTCCTCATGCATGACCTCACTGACACACACTGACACAGTGGGAGGGGCCTGGCCTGTGGACCTCCGTGGGCAGATCGTGTGCCCATGGCATGTGTCAGGGCTGTGTGCTCCTTGGCAGCCCTGTCGCTGTCCCATCTGTGGCCCCTTGTCCTGATGTCTCCAGTAGAGCCTGGGCTCAGGACAGAGCTCTGCAGCTGGGTGGTTGGTGCTGGGGGCCTGACCCTGACTTTTCCTCCCCCAGGCCATGCCAATGCCAGCTTCTGCCCACACGGCTACGGCTGCCGCGCCCTGGTGGTGTGTGAGGGTCAGACCCTCCTGGACGTGACTGACAACGAGCTCACTGTCACCTTGCGTGTGCCCAAGGGTCGCTGGCTCTGGCTGGTAAGTCCCAGGGCTGGTGAACTGCACAGGGGCTGGCCGGCCTCACACCTGGCTGTCCACCTCGGGTTGCTCAGCCAGAGTGCATCCCCTGCCTGCTGCGGCCAGCCCCGTGCCACATGCCAGGGGCCAGCTGCCTCTGCCCCTGGGGACCTCCAGACCCACCGTGTGAGGCTTCAGAGGGAGCTGAGAGCTGAGACATTGTCCCGCCAGCAGCCCCCCTGGGCCCTGTGGTCAGGGTGGCCTTCCTGGAGGAGGTGGGGCCTGGGTCTGGGAGAGGGAGGTGGAAGGAGCGGTGGGCAGTCAGGGGTGTGAATGGACACCAGGAGCTTCCTTGACATTCCTGTGTGACCACAGAGGTGGCCTCCCTTACAAGCAGCCTGGGTGCCTGGCCAGGACCAGGCAGCCTCGCCTGTTACCCACTCCTGCTTGCTCCTCTAGGATTATATCCTGGTGGTGCCTGAGGATGCCTACAGCTCCAGCTACCTCCAGGAGGAGCCCCTGGACAAATCCTACGACTTCATCAGCCACTGCGCTGCCCACGGCTATCACATCAGGTGGGCCGGGCTCCGGGCAGGGTGGGGTCTGGGGCGGGGTCTGGGCCGGGAGCTGTCCTCACCTTCTGCCCCTCCATGTAGCCCCAGCAGCTCGTCCCTGTTCTGCCGAAATGCTGCCACCTCTCTCTCCCTCTTCTACAACAATGGGGCCCGGCCTTGTGGCTGCCACGAAGTGGGTGCTACGGGCCCCACGTGTGAGCCCTTCGGGGGCCAGTGCCCCTGCCGTGCCCA